AACGCTTTCCTGTCTCTTCTCCCAGAAGCAACAGCTGTTTATTGTTCCTCATTCCCACACTGCATGACCAAACAACTACACAGAAAACAGAGATGGGTGAAAGCAAGACTATTTAAAGCTGCAAATCAAGAACACAAGGCTTAGGAAAGCTCAGCTTTATGGCTGCCTGTGCAACCTTCGACCCTCTTTCCTGCCCGTGTGCCATGGCAGAGCTGTTAATCACATAATCACAGGCTATTTTTCCAAGGACCTTGGCCTCACCCAGTGCAGCAGGATCTGGGGTGCTCACTAGGCGAGCACCCAGTTACTATTTCATCTTCTCAGTGCTTTTGGAGGTGTGGCCCCAAGACTTGTTTACTGCATACCCGCCACGCTCTGCTCTGCAGATGGAATTGGTAATTTACTCATGGCCTTTCCTACAGTACGCATCATTAGAGTAACTGAATGTTTCACAAACATAAAGGAATGCGTTTTTGCACTGCCCTTATAAAGTAAGACACTGCATTATCTATATGTCAAGGGCAGAGAAGCAAAGCATAGGGAGATTAATGTGAAAAGCTTCCACTAGTTTTAAATCTCAGTTGAAACTCTTGAGTACAAGTCCTTCAGAGATATGTTTTGCCAGTTGAGGCTGTGGTGACAACTATTTTTTTTTTTTTTGGGCTGATGCTCTCAGAGACAGCAGAAGTGATATCCCTGACATTTATACCATTCAAATTTTACTGAGTGGTTAATGTGGAGGCTTGCTTTCTCACTTCTTTGTACATTTGTTGTTTTTAACATGCATCAGGAAAAAATTCAGGAGAGGTATAAAAGAGCTGTTTTCTAAATATACATTCTGAGGCAGGTAGCTGGGATGGAAAATTTCTCCCAGACAGTTTAAGTTTAGTAAAGTTGTGAACAACTAAAAATGAAGGTCTTAAAATAGGGAAGCTGTTGGATGGCCTCAATGACAGGTCATTGCCATAAAATACACTTTTCTTTCTCTTCTCACTTTTCTCTCTTCTCTTTCTGAGAAGAAACATGTTATACTAACAGAATCAAGTCAAACTGAAACACACACTGTAACCAGAACTTTATTTTATATTCTGGTTCTGTTCAGATAAACAAGATCAATTTATTTTTACATTAAAAGCACAACATAGTCCTGTTACTCAATTCCAAACAGGGACTTCTGCTTAGAGCATAAGCCCCACCTTTCCTCCTATTCTCTCAGAAAGAGAAAGCAAGTGTCAGGCACTTCTGGCAGCACTGGTCATAAGCTGGATATAGGACAGACAGATGGACAGTACTCAGGGGTAGTGAATCTTACATTGATATAAACTGATCCTTCCCCTGATTATTTGCAGGGAGATTCAAAAATTCCTATAAGGAAAAAAAAAAGCCCATCTGAAAATTTCAGGCAGTGATTTTATCTGTGCCAATACCAGGAAAGAAAGACAGACAGACAAAAAGACAGACGGTGGGGGGGAGGGTGGGAACAATTCAACCAACTGCTGGTGCCAGCCTTCTTCAGAGCAATGAAGTAATTTTAGAGACACTTCTGTACGAGCCTAAAATCCAGCCTTGCATCTGTGCACAGGACTCGGGACACACAGACACACAGACAGACATGCACAACACTGGACAACAATGTGAGACAATGTGGGAGCTGGCAGAACTGGATCCTCCATCACCTTGGGAACAGGCAAGGACAACCCTAGGATAACTCCTGACAATTCCTCTTTGCCACCCAAACTGTATTCCTGGCAAATGAATACAGCTTCCTTCCCCTGATACATACCATATCTACACAGAGAGGAACACAGACCCAGTTTCTCTGTCCTGCACTGAAAACTCTCACTGTATATCCCTGCTTTTGAGCTAGTCATGTCTCCTGACTGCACTAACTTAGACTAATTTAGTATTTTTAATTACAGAGGGATTTACAGCACTGCACTACAGTGCTCTCTTTTATGATACCCACTGTTTCTGCTGAATCTGGATGCACTCTACATACAAAGTTGCACATTAGACAAATTACACTGCACATTAAGTAAATCTCTCTCTAGAAACAGGATTAGATGAAGAGGCAAATCTTCCTCATTCCTAGTGTATAAATTAATATCTACAAAATCAATATAAAGAAAGAGCCCCATATCAATTTATGAAAAAAAAATAGTTTAAGCATTCTCCACAATTAAACAAATTTATGTAGGAGATGCATTCTTCTTCTCCTATTTTGCCTAATAAATAAAACAGCTGGTCCAAGGAATCAGGTCAATCAGTGTCTGGAAAAAGCCCCATTAAAGCTGCTATATAACCTAGTTTCTCAAGCTGCATAAGGCATCCTAATATTGAAGAGGCAGAAGTCCATCCAGAGACAGCAGGGATGGCTCAGCTTCTGGCACTTCAGGGTTATGGAGGATATTTATCACAGAAGACAATAGTAAGTGAGATATCTTGCAAAGATCTAAGGAGATGGGCTCTGAAGGACCACAACAAAGACAACATGATGCATCCAGACCTGTCCATAAAACAGAGCTAGTAGCCTTGGGCACCTGAGCTCAGGTCATCCAACATAAGGAGATGGTAAAGGCCCAGATTTTCACATGTGTTCAGATGCCCTCAAAGCTAACCTAGCCCTGCTGCAACAATGGGTGATAACAGCTCTTCTCAGGGCTCTCCACAGCTCCATGGTTCCATCCCTCCCATGTCACGTGGGAGGGTGAATCCAGCAGTGCCCAAAGCTGTGGGTGTGTTTTGTGGGTACAGAGCCTATTCCAGTGCAGGCAAAAACCCCTCAGCACCAGCCCTCCTCCTCCTGCACAACACACAGTACACAAAATGCAGTGCCCAGGCCCTCCTCACCTCAGAAAACGTACATTCAGTAGGTTTGAAAATATTTTGCAAAGGATATCACAATCCATATCCTATAGAGATAAAAACAGAGCCAGAAGAAAGTGACTTGCTTAAGCTTTAGGAGCAAGGCAGCATCAGAACTGGGAAATGAAACTTCCTGGTCCACAAACCTAGGTTTTAGCTTCTTAAATAAGGATTCTCTTCCCTCATTAAAAAACTAGAAATGAAAAAAGAGGAAGGAATATTCTGCAGACAGAATGAACTTTGCCCTCAGAGGACTAATGACCTGATAGACTTTTATTCCCTTCTCACCTCCATTTCCCCTTGCTAAAGTTACAATAACTTCAAGGAGTATCCTTATTCCTTGGTCTGCTTTAACCTAGTGTGTCAGCTCAGCATCCTTTTCCCAACCACCTGAACCAGAGACCATCCTTCCATGAGAGGAGATTACCTTCTTGATTTCAGTCTCTCTGGACATCCTTGCAACATCCTGGACTGAGACTCTCTGCTTTATGCATTGTGCTGAGGGACCCCAAAGTCCTATCCACTCATCCCAGCCCATAGTACGTGGCAGCCTGAAAGGGTACCCTGGAGGTAAAACCTGGTTGTTCTCTATTAATTTTTCATTTTAAGAATAGCTCCAGGGAAAGGAGGGAGATATAGGTCAGAGACTTTGGAGGCTGATTAGTAACTCTGTACATCTTCCTTCTTTTTCTTTTTTTCCCTCATTATTTTTTTCTCTTCCAAATTCAGAAACAGAGGGTTTTCCCTCCATATTTCTCATTTACTCCTTGAGCATCACTGGCATTAGTCAGCAAACTCCTGCAATTTCCTCACAAGCCCCTGCCACTTGCAGAGTGACTAACCCCTTCTGCACACACTTGGGTTCTAACAGTTTCATTCCTTTTTTCCCTCATGAGAAATGGATCTCGGCACTGCACAGGCTCAGTTCTCCCTGTGGTCACTGCAAGGGTGACAGGTCACTCCCTGTAAGCTCCTGCTGCCAGGAGGCTGCAAACAGCACCATTTTTCACGCACAGAGCCGAGGAGCCAGGAGGTGATGGCAGGGCCTGCCCTCGGGTCACTTCATAACTCACCATCACAATCGCAGTGTCCCTCACGCTAGGAAGAACTTGGCTCCTGCTCCAAGCACAGGCACGGGGAGAAGGGGATGGAGGAAGCCTGAAGCCACCTGACAGCCACCAGGTCTGCCAGGTGACACTGCCTTTGCGTCGGCCTTTCCTTCCAGCACTGGGAGTCTCTGCCCCCGTTACAGTGCCCGGTGCTCGACATGATGCGCAGCAGGCCTCAGCTGGGCTCCCGAGGCATGAATCCAGCATGAGTGAAAACGCAGCTCCTTGTGACTCAAAGCCACCTCATCAGAGCACGACAGAAGGCTCCTCCTGGCCAGGTGGGCTTGCACAAGCTGCCCACCCACCCACAGCCACGCTCACAGAAGACCTAACTAGGAAGAAGTTAGTTCCTGCTCCAAGCACAGGCACAGGGAGAAGGGGATGGAGGAAGTCTGAAGCCATCTGGCAGCCCTGAAGCCACCAGCTCTGTTATGTTACACTGCCTTTGTGTCGGCCTTTCCTTCCAGCACTGGGAGTCTCTGCCCCCGTTACGGTGCCCGGTGCTCGACATGATGTGCAGCAGGCCTCAGCTGGGCTCCTGAGGCACCAATACAGCATGAGTGAAAACGCAGCTCCTTGTGACTCAAAGCCACCTCATCAGAGCACGACAGAAGGCTCCTCCTGGCCAGGTGGGCTTGCACAAGCTGCCCACCCACCCACAGCCATGATCACAGAAGACCTTGCATGCAGCTCACGCTCACGTGGGTGTCCCACAGACGTGCCCACACTGTGCTCTTGGTGCTGCGCTCGAGCACACAGCAAGTTTGTTGTGTCCACCTCTCCAGGGTGATGCCAAGAGCACACAGGCCACTCTTCCTTACATCCAACATGCAAACAGGATGTCTTGCCCCCAGGGCAAGGCCATGCCCTCAGGCAATAGTAGGTTCTACCTGCTGCCACCCACACAGGAACAATCCACATCCAGAGCAGAGGCCATCAATGGGGATCAGTGGGAAAGCTGGTGAACTTGGGGCTGGAGAAGTTTATTTAACCCTGAGACCCTCACCCCGTTCCCACCACCCTTACCTCCGTCCCCATTGTAGGAGAGACTTCTGCATTGCTGTGTAGGGAGGCATGAAAATAAACCACCGGCTCCAGTGCCACACTCCCTCCTGGCAGATCTGTTTCTCTCTTCTTAACTGTTTCCAAGTGCCTGGCTGTTTTATAATCCCCAGTGAGCATTCCCTTAACTCCTTCCTCACTGAGTCCTTCCACTCTCCCTCGCTCTCTCTCTTCTGAAAGGCAGAAAAATCCAAGGCGAGGTAGGGGGTAGAGAAAGCAAAGGAGGGGGCTTGAATCAAACAGGGAACATCTGAATCAAAGAGGGAACATCTGAATCAAGCTGCACATATTAGTCATTTCCCCAGCCCTCTCTTACAAAGACAGACTGACTCTCCTGTTAATATATTTCATTTTTTCTTCCCCATGGACATTTGTGTACCTTAGAAACTTCTTTGCTAATCTCCTCCTGCTTTTTCATACCATGAGGTCATATGCTCCTGCTGGTAGCATGACTTTAAATCACACACCAGCTTGCCCTTTGAGGTCTGAACAGAAATCACTGTCTTAGATCACAAGTAAATATGAGTTGATGGCTTCAAGCCCAGTGTCACTGCCACCCCATCTATGCATATTGCAAAATTCGAGAAGAATCAAATGCAGGTTATTGCTTCCCAGTGGAAAGGACTCCATCACTGCAAGGGCTGTGAGAGGACCATGTGGAGGAGCTAAGGCAAAGGAACACATCCTCCCTGTATCCAAGACTCTGCAACTGCCCTGAAGTGACCTGTTGAGAGCCACACACCAGAGCTATGGGTGCTAAAGGCCGTGCACTGTGCGTGCTTGCGCGTCAGTGAGTGCAGACGTGGGGCACGGAGCCACTTGGCCTGAGACATTTTGGGAGGCCCACAGGTCACAGCTGCACTTGGCCACAACGCAGCACAGGTCACAGTGTGTGTGCCAGGGTGTGCTGGCAGCACGGTGTGGGGTAGGACAAGCACAGCCACCCAGCAGCTTTGGATTTCATAACCACCACTACGTGCAAAGCAACGTCACAGAACGCTCCAGTGCTTACGCTGCTCCTGCAAGCACAGGAATAAAGAGGACAGAGGGAAAAAAAAGCATTGGCTTTCACATGTCCCCTCTCAGGTGGGAACATGATACCTGCAGCTGGCTGCTGCTCTTCCTCAGAGCCTATGGCTGCTTCTTCCAGCATCTTGAGGTTACCCCTGACAGCTTCCACTCAAAAGTTTACCAAGGTATCTTTTTCCCTGACAAAATGAGCTATTCAAAATGAGCTATGTCACACCAGGCTGGGCCACAGGGCTTTTAAAATCGTTTCTGCTGATGTTCAAAGGGAGCAGCTTGCTGTGCAGAGGAGTGGTGGAGTTAATAGCAGTAGGATCAGCACAAGCTCTTACCCTGCCATCTGCCTTCAGCTCAGCCAGGCTTTCTGCTGAACAGCCAATGTGGGCTGGGGCCACTGGAGTGAGCAGCAACTCACTGACATGAAAGACTGCCTGGGTTAGTTGATTAAGAATAAGATTACGAGCACAGGAATCCTGTATAGAGCTGGTACTGACTCAGTTCAAGGATTTCATGGGGATATTTAAGCCCAGTTTTCCAAAGAAGTATTTTATTTTGCACAGGTGGGTGTTTGTGTGACAGCTTAAATAAGCCACATGAATTGATGACTCCAGAAACAGGGGTCATCTCTGAAACTGTTATGCTTTCTTCTTTAGCCACCCCCACTAGAAAACAGGGATAGGGATAATATCCCAAAATAGGGATAAATAACACTTAACTGCCTCACTCCCCTGTAATGTTTAAGTCCTTTGCACATAGAGAGCTCTGAAGGAAACACAGAGCCTGCTGGAATGGACAGGGATGCCTCTCACAACTGTGGGTCACAGATCCCTCTCATTCTGCCTTGTGTACTTCTTTTAAACCACTGACAGAGGCTGCTCAGCTCTGTTCCTGCACATTCAGACTGACAGCTGCCTCAAGAATTCTCCCTCTTTTAAACAATAGAAGAGTCACTTAAGGCTTGTGGATGACCTGAGAGTACCAACTGCTGACCCACCAGTGCAGTCTGAACCTTCCAGTGCAACCATGAAGAGCAAGGCTTGGTCCCTTTGAGGGATGGTGAGGGCAAAACAGTTCTGTAGGCCCATAATAAAATACTGAGAGTATACAAAATACTCTGATGTCCTATCATTCTGTGGTAATACCCTACAGCAATTTAAAGGACTGCTGCAGCTGATCTCCAAACCCAGAGGAGACAGCTGGAGGGAGCAGCAAAAGGGTGCTGGTCTGGAAGGAAGAGGAGGGATCTGGGAGAGTGAGGGTACAACCTGCCTGATCTGAAAGCAAAAAGAACAGAGAGGCCCCTCCTTTCACGGATGCAGGGAGGAAAAAAAGCAAGATGAGCGAAAAGCCTGGACTTAATAATGAAAAACAAAAGCTCATCATTTATTTTCATATCCTCTCACTAATGCTGGCATAATGCTAACAGTGGAATTCTTATGGCATGCATGTCATGCCTGCAAATACCAAGTGAATTACTTCTCAGCAAGGCTATGGGCTATGGCACTGAGCAGCACATTCGTTACAAACGATTGGATGATGAACGACAGTTCCCAAATTCCTCCTTCACAATGCTACTTGCATTAGTTGTAATTTAATGAGTGTGAGAGAGAGGGAGAGAAAGTTTTGGCTCAAATCACAGAAATAATACTGCCTTCTGCTGCTTCCCACCGGGTCTTGTATTAACTCACACCACCTCCACCTCCTACTTCTCTACCTCCTCCCTTTTCACACCTATCCTCAGGTGCTAAAAGTCGTGTCATGAAACCCATCAGGCATGGCAAGAGAGCATGCAGAAGCCCCCAAGCACATGCATTCCTTCTGGCTAAAAGGTGGGAGAGGCCACAAATCTCTCCCTCTTCTCTGAGGCAGGCTGGGGTGGTTCCTACAGCAGCCAGTCTGTGTAGACAAGCCACCAACTATCCTTTGGTTCTTTCCTCCTAGGGAAAGGACCTCACCTCCTCCTCCAGTGCAGGTGAGAGACACCAAGCTGGCAGCTCTGGAAGCAGAGCATGAAGCACACACTGCACCATGATGGTGCAGAGGTCCCACCACACACGCCTGCCAGCACGGTCCTTGTGCCTTCCCAGAGGGAACCACAGCAGGGTAGCCCAGCCTCATCCTCACCTTGTAGGCTGTCTTAGCTGGATTGTTGCACTTTTAAACAATTTTGAGATCTGGTAAGCAGCCACTGAGTGTGAACAAAACCTTTGCTAGGGGGTGAGGCCTTCAGCAGTACAAATGTGCCATCACTGGTGACCCTCAGCAAAGCCAGCAATCAGTGCATGCTGCCTCCTCCTGAGCTCTTTGGTAGGTCTGTACCTCCAGCTTATTCAGGGCATAAATCAAGCCCCTTTTCTTCACTCCTGGACCTTGACACAAAAGGGACAGCCACAGCAGCAGGGGCATCTTGCAGGTCTCTGCCCTGGACTGGCCAGTGTCACCTCCTACTCCTGTGGCAACCTTGTGACAGAGCCTGTACCCCTTCACATGACAAGACATTTATCCATCTAATGACCCTGCACATAAGGTTCACACCTGAAACAAGACCCACTGTGTGGGGTCTCCTGTGCTGGGCCAGAAGAAAGCTGAGGGGTCTGATCTGAGCAGCAGACTTACAAGTTGATGACTGCAAACATCACTACTACTCTTGTGGTGTATGCAGTCTCCTCAGGATTTCCCACTGACTGAGCCTAAATGACAACCATCCACGGATTCCTACCTAGTGGAGCATCCAGAATACTCCTTATCCCTTCTGTGCCAAATGTAATTTAAAAGCCCCCCTCCCACATTTTGCAGTGTTTTGAAAAAAAACAAATCCAAACAAAATTTACATGTTTCTGAAACACAGGCATAAGCAGAGGAAGGGAAAATGCCCTTAAGGATTGGAACCAAATGTGTTTGTGCAAATGAGACCCAGGATTTACAGTTACCTTCCAGCCTCCAGCAAGTGCTACAGTCTTAGCTTTGACTTAAAAACAATCTGTTTTCTTGTAGAGGTTGAAAAACAGTGATATTTTCTCTGGTGTACCGGCCAAAGTCCCACAGCCGTGGCTGGGAAAGGAGGGTGGACACTCTGTCACAGGACACTCCCAGGGACAGGTCTGTATGGGCACACAGGTGCCCATTTGTGCTTTCCAGCAATACAGCAGGCACAATGCTGGGGGTGAAGGAACTACATGGACACAGATTTGCCCCTTGTTAAAATCCCCCTCCAAGCCCTTGTGTAGCATTGCACACTCTGTGGCTTTCTTAAACCTCTGGCTGTGCTTTGAGCAGTGACTCTGAAATAAACGAAGATATGCCTTGCTGAAGTGACCCTAAACGAAAGTAACAATACTTGGCACAAATAAATAATCAAGAAACATAGTTGCAAATCAAAAAGGATGAAACAGTGAGCCTGCAGTGACTAACCTTGTGCTGGGCAGCTCACCCACCCCAGCAGCATGGGCAGCCACACATCCCCCCAAGGGGCACCAGACAGAAGGGGTCCCTTTGCACACAGCAAATGTGGGGAGAAGGGGACACAAGCATGAGAGGGAAGGGGGGCTCCTGTGACAGAGGACCACCACAGTGTGGCTATGTGGCCTTTAGGAGCCTTCACAGGGGTGCTGTCACCTGCTACCAGCCTGCAGAGCGAAGCAGTGACCAGGCTGGAGAGATGAAAAGCAGTTATCAAGGGCAGAACTATAGGCATGAACACACCTAGACAGAGGCAGACCTGCTGGACTGCCAGAACAGGCCTGTTACTGCACATCTCCTTTGGGCACACACTGCAAGCCACAGCAGTCACAACTGCCAGCCATGGTTTATCACATTTACAGTTTACAACCCAACCAAATCTAACACTTCTGCTGGAACCAAGTTCAGCTGAAGGTTCCTGGCCCAGCTGGGAAGGCAGAAGCTGTCCTGCCCCTTGGTTCCCCTCCTGACAGGCTGCTGTGGCTCAGGAGGGGTGAAGCTCAGACACAGCATGCAGTGTCACACTTGAGCTCCCTCTAAGCCTTCAAATTAGGGCTTACACGGGGCTTAAGTGCAGCCTGT